TTTCGGGAGGCCGTGCTGTTTCCTGCGGACCTGCCGCTGCTGCCGACGGGGCCTGCTGCCTATGACAGACCCACTGCCTACTTTCCGTGGGGCCCGCCGCCTGCTTTCCGTGGACCCACTGCCCTTCAAGGGGCCCGCTGCCTGCTTTCTATAGGATGTGCTGCCTGCTTATGATGGGCCCACTGCCTACTTTCTATGGGACCCACCACCTGCTTTCTGTAAGACGTGCCACCTACTTACGGCGGACCCACTGCCTTTCAATGGGACCCGCTGCCTGCTTCCTACAGGACCCGCTGCCTGCTTTCTATGGGACCTGCCGCCTGCTCTCTATGCGACCCGCTGCCTGCTTTCCATGGAACCCACTGCCTACTTTCTATAGGACATGCTGCCTTACAATGGACCCCTGCCTGCTTTCTAGGGGACCTGCCATCTGCTTTCTGTAGGACCTGCTGCCTGTTTATGATGCGACCCGCCGCCTGCTTTCTATAGGACATGCCGCCTGTGCAACCCACTGCCTGCTTTCTATACGACATGCTGCCTGCCTATGATGGAGCCACTGCCTGCTTTCTAAGGGACTTGCCGCCTGCTTTCTATGGAACCCACTGTCTGTTTCTATAGGACCTGCTGCTGCTTCTTATGAGGTGACCCGCTGCCTGCTTTCCATAGGATGTGCTACCTGCTTATGATGCGATCCCCTGCCTTTTCTGAGACCCGCTGCCTGCTTTCAATAGGACCCACTGCCTGCTTTCTACGGGACCTTCTGCCTGCTTTCTAGGGAACCTGCTGCCTGCTTTCTACAAGACATGCTGCCTATGCAACCCGCGGCCTGCTTTCTATGGGACCCGCTGGCTGCGTTCTGTGGAACCCACTGCCTTTCTATAGGACCTGCTGCCTGCTTATGATGTGACCCACTGCCTGCTTTCTATGGGACCTGCTGCCTGCTTTCTATAGGACGTGCTGCCTGCTTTCTACAGGATCCCCTGCCTGCTTTCTAGGGGACATACCACCTGCTTTCTATAGGACATGCTGCTTATGTGACCCGTCACCTGCTTTCTGTAGGATATGCTGCCTGTGTACGATGGACCCACTGCCTGCTTTCTATGGGGCTTGCCATCTACTTTCTGTAGGATGTGCTGCCTGCTTACGATGCGACCCGCTGCCTTTCCTATGAGACCCACCGCCTGCTTTCTATAGGCCATGCTGCTTGCTTACGATGTGACCCACCGCCTGCTTTCCACGGGACCCGCCTGCTCTCCATGCAAGTTGTGTGCATTAAATGGGACCCACTATCTTTCTGTGGGACTCAGGGCTCCTTTGAGACCCACAACCTTCTTTCTTTGGGACCCACTGTCTGTATTTTAGAGGACTTGCCTTGTTTTGTTGTTGTTGTTGTTTGAGATTCACCCAGGCTTAGAGTGCAGTGGCATAATCAGAGCTCACTGCAGCCTTGACCTCCTGGGCTCAGGCGATCCTCTCGCCTCAGCCTCCTGAGTAGCTGGGACTTAAACTTCTTGTAGAGACGGGGTCTCGCTCCATTGCCCAGGCTGTTCTTGAAATCCTGGACTCAAGTGTTTCTCCCACCTTGGCCTCCCCAAATGCTAGGATTACAGGCATGAGCCACTGTGCCGGCCCAACATCTTGTTTCTGTGGAACCACTTGTGGTTTCTGTGATGTCCCCTCCTTCTCTCTAGGGGACCTGACACCTGCCTCTTCTGTGCCCTGCCGCCTTCTCTTAAGGAATCCACTGTCTGGGTCCCAAATTGCCCACCTCCTGAGTTTATGGGACATTCCATCTGTGCTTCTGGGGAGGATGCAATACACATCTTGCACCTACGGGACCCCCTGCTCAGCTTCTGTGACGCCCACCTCCGTGTTTCTCTGGGACCCTCAGATGGGCTCTGCGTGCCTCCAGCACCTCACTTCTGCAAGATCTTCCGCCACCCCCGCAGGCTTCTCCTGGCCCCTACCCCAACGAGCAGCCCCCCGGGGAGTTACCAGGGATGGAGGTGCCCAGGGCCACGAAGACAACGGCGTTGACAGAGTCCTTGAGGCCCACGGTGCAGCCGAAGTGGGAGGCCAGGTCCCCGATGAGCGCGGTCAGCAGGCCGATGACCAGGATGCAGACCCCAAAGCAGGCCCAGCCGTGGCAGTACTCGGTGGGGGGCACACAGGCGAAGAGCACCTTCCAGAACACCGTCAGGAAGTGCATCACGTAGTCAAAGCACGACGGCAGCCGCTCCTCCCGGGAGCCATCCTCCTCCTCCTCCTCGTCCCCTGTGGGCACACGATCCAGCCTGGGCACACACCCATACCTCCTTCTTCCTCACCTACAGAGGCCCCGTTCTGTTGAACTTCCAGACAGCAAGTCCCACAAAACGACTTGCTGTCCCAGAATCCCTTGCACCAAAGTGCGGCCATGCCAGCAGCCAAAAAGTTACTTTCCCAGAATCCCTTGCACCTAAGTGTGGCCCATGTTAGCAGCTAAAAACAGTTACTTTGCAGAAGCCCTTGAAGCCGAAAGAGTGAATGTGGCCAGGTGAAAAAATATTTACTTTCCCAGAATCTCTTGAAGCTAAAAGAGGCCTTATGTGCCCAGCTAAAAATATCCAGCTTCCCAGGATCCTTTGCTGCTAGGGACAGCCATACCCCTAGCTAAAAATATTCCTTTTCCCAGAAGCCTTTGCAGCTACTGAAAGCCATGTCCACAGCTAGAACTATGCACCTCCTCAGATTCATTCCAGCTAACCCGAGCCACAGCTGTGCTAAATCCATCCCCTTCCCAGAATCCCTTGCAGTGAGAAAGCCATATACTCAGCCCAAATTAGTCACTTTCCCAGAACCCTTTGCAGGAGAAAGCCATATCCCCAGCCCAAATTAGTCATTTTCCCAGAATCCCTTGCAGCGAGAGAACCACATACTCAGCTCAAATTAGTCACTTGCCCAGAATCCTTCGCAGTGAGAAAGCCATATACCCAGCCCAAATTAGTCATTTTCCCAGAATCCCTTGCAGCGAGAGAACCATATACCCAGCTCAATTTAGTCACTTTCCCAGAATCCTTTGCAGTGAGAAAGCCATATACCCAGTCCAAATTAGTCACTTTCCCAGAATCCCTTACGGCTGGCAGTGGTCATGTTTCCAGCTAAATAGTTATTTTGCCAGAATTCCTTGCAAGAGTGACCATCTGACGCAATAAGACATAAATAGAGGGTTTTGGGAAGCTCTAACTTTCCTGATATGGGCATTGTACTATCGATGTGTTTTCTTTTTGAATCGAGGTCTCTATCACCTAGGCTGGAGTGAGGTGGCATGATCACAGCTCACCGCAGACTCGACCTCCTGGACTCAAGTGATCTTCCCACCTCAGCCTCCTGAGTAGCTGGGACTACGGGTGTACACCACCATACCAGCTAACCTTTTTATTTTTGTAGAAATGAGGTCTCACTATGTTGCCCAGGCCGGTCTTGAACTCCTGGGCTCAGGAGATTCTCTTGCCTCGGCCTCCCAGACTGCTGAGATTACAGGTGGGAGGCACTACGCCTGGCCCCGATATGTTTTCTGAGTTTTGTCAAGGATGTATCCCCTATGGTGACCTCATTTGACCTGCTTTTGACCTGCAGTGACTCCCGAAACGTCAAAGCATCAGTGAAATGTTTTGTCTCCCTTGCCCTGAATTGATACGCACACAAGGAGAAGCCACGAACACAGTGCGTGTGGCAAACAGCACATCTGGACGGCTGTGACCCCTGCCAGTCACTCCGTGTGAGCCATGGAGCAGGAGCCAGGGCAGCCACTGAACCATGGAGCCGCTTCCCAGTTTCAACCTGAAGGCGCGGCAACTCGCTCTCTTCAAGAAACAGAACGTGGTGAGCAGAGGATGCTGGTGGTGGTGGCAGGAGAGTGACAGATGCTTTTCTCTCTTCTAGCTTACGGAGCCCCTTGGTTTGTATAGTTCCTTGGTTCTGCCTGCTACCTCTCAACAACGATCCCAGATAAGGCCAGGCACAGTGAGAGGCCAAGGTGGGAGGATTGTTTGAGTCCAGGAGTTTGAGACCAGCCTGGGCAACATAGTGACACCCTGTCTCTACAACAAAGACAGAAACAAAGATACCAAATAAAATGGAATCATTAGAAACTAGAATCGCGAGCTCAAGCTCACTGCTGCTTCCTGCTTCTCTGTTTCCTTTTTCTTCCTCTTGGAATATGGACTTGATGGCTGGAGGCGCAGCAGCCTTCCTGCAAGCATGAGGACTAAAGCAGAGAATGGGGAGGAGCCATGAAGGAGGAGCCTCCGTGACTTGATGCCATCGCTGAGCCGCTGCGCCAACTCCCTGCCATGATGGATCCTTTGTGCTCCATGGAAAAAGTCAACTTGAGTGTACTTAAGCTGCCTGCCGTTGAGTTTTCTGTTGCCTGCTGCTAAGGGCATCCCAGACTGAACCACTGGGAGACACCACAGGGTCAGGGCAGGGAGGCCACAATCTTCGGGAGGGAGGAGGCTGTTATCACTGCATCACCAGGGTCTTCTCCCTGCTCTGCCCTGGTTCATATCTTGCCTTGGCTCCCTACTGCCCTCAAACCCAGGCACTCCCTCCTGGGCTTGACAATCCAGGTCCCGTGGGCTCGTCCTCTGCTTACTTTTTCAGCCTCTCCTTCTGGAGGAAGGCTCAGGGTTATGCCTGTGATTCTGCAGCCAAACCTTGGGTCTCCTGGGTGATCCTGAATCAGTGTCTTCCCTCTCTGATCCTCTGGGTGCTTATCTGAGAAACAGAGTAATAACTAGACCTGCCTCGTGAGGCTAAATCAAAGTACTCTCAACGGTGCCTCATGGCCGGGCACAAGGGCTCACACCTGTAATCCCAGCACTTTCAGAGGCCGAGGCGGGAGGATCGCTTGAGCCCAGGAGTTTAAGACCAGCCTGGGCAACACAGTGAGACCTCATCTCTACAAAAAGCAAAAAATTAGCTGAGTGCAGAGGCACATGCCTGGAATCCCACCTACTTGGGAGGCTGATGCGGAAGGATCGCTTGAGCCCAGCAGGTCGAAGCTGCAGTGGCCATGAGCATGTCACTGCACTCCAGCCTGGGCCACAGAGTGAGACCCCAACTAAAAAAAAACCCCAAACTAAAAACAGTACCACATACATCTCCAGCATTATTATTATTATTATTATTATTATTTTGAGTTGGAGTCTCACTCTGTCGCCCAGACTGGAGTGCAGTGGCTGCTTCCGGCCACCGCAGCCTCGCCTGCTGGGCTCCAGCGATCCTTCCGCCTCAGTTTTCCGAGTAGCCGGAACTACAGGCACGCGCTACCACACCCAGATGATTTTTTGCTTTATTGTAGAGATGAGGTCTCGCTGCCCAGGCGGGTCTCGAACCCGCGGGCTCAGGCAATCCACTCACCTCAGCCTCCCAAAGGCGCGGGATGACAGGCTGAGCCACCGAGTCCGGCTATCCAGCATTATTATTATGGTTTTGGTCATTCTTGTTGAAGGCCCACTTTGATGCCGGGGGCGGGGGAATTCCAAGTTGCCCCAGGCCAAGTACAGCCTTCACAGAACTGACAGTTGAGGGAGGTAAAGAAAACACAAAAGTCCCCCCAGGTGCAAGAGGGGACACGCTTCATCCTGAGGGGCGAGACCCTCCCCCCCCAGCGCCCAGCATCCCTGACCTCACACAGGAAGGATCCAGAGGCACGTGCAGGGTGTCGGCCACGTGCAGGGTGACCTGGCACCCAGCAGACACGGGGGACCGCCTCGAGACAACAGGACCGCCGTTGTTACCATCCTTGCCATTGTTGCAACTACGCTGTTACTGTTATTGTTGTGGTGTTCCACCTCCCGCCTCCCCGACACTCACTCTCATGGGGTCACGTGGTGTCTGTGAACCCATGGCCTGCGGGATCTGGGCCCCCAGCCACCGCCTCACGTCCGGCTTTCACCTCGCCGCTCCTCCCCTCCACTAAGCCCCCAGAGGAAGAGTCCCCAAGCCCGAAGAGCCTCTTCCAGCCTCCCATCATTCGTGGAACGAGCCCAGGTGAGGCAGTGGAGCCATCTCCTGACAGCCTCCACAGCCTCGACCCGCCCCCGTGCCCCCTGTTCCCACAAGTCCCCGGGGGCGCCCCCATTCAAAACCCTCGTGGCTTGCCAGTGGGTTCACAGTGACTCCAAGGACTGGCATGCTCTGAGTTCTGCTGACTTCTGGCCTCACCCTGTACCTCTGCCTCATCTCCCAAACCTGCCACAGCCTCACACCCTCCAGATTTCTGTGCGCGGCTTCCCCGCTGCCTGTCTTCTTCCTCCTCCTGACTGACATCTATACCCCCTTTGAAGACTCAGCTAAGGGGGCACCTCCTCCAGGAAGCCCTCCCTGAATCCCAGGCTGGGTCAGGCATCCCCCCTGGGCTCGCCTTGGGGTCCACTGAGCGCTCTGGGTTGTCACTCTCTTGTGACATGTCTGTCTCCCCCTACTGGATTGTAAGCTCCATGAGGACAGGGCCAGGGCTGTCCTGGTCACGTCTGTGTCCCCAGCAGTGTCCCACACGGGGTTGGGCCCGAGGATCCCTCAGAAATATGTCAAAAGAATGTGGCCACCTGGTTTCTATCAGACACACAATCTGGTGTCTCCAGGCTCCGCTGTCACAAACTCCCCTCCCCGAAGCCTAGCTTCTTTTCGTCCCACTGGCCAGTTTCTTTCCAGCCATGTTTCCTTGCGGGCTTTTAGGCCCTGCCACCTGGGGCTTCCCTGAAAGAAACCCAGAGTGGTGTCTGAGACAGGAGTTCTGAGCTCCGACCTCAGCCCCCTTCTGGACTCCCTGTGGGACTTCGGGCCAGTTCCTCCTCTACCTCTGAGCCTCAGTTTCCCCGATCTGCCTCACAGAGGAGCAGGCCAGTGTTGGCAGATCTGTAGATCCACATGTCATAACGTCTCTGGCCACAAGGGGGCAGTGCGGGCCCGTTCGAGGCCAAGGAGGGTGGCGACCCCCCCCATGGGAGGAGGGCAGGTGCCCGGGGACCGTCTCCATGGCAACAGAGGCGCCTAGGCTCTGCCAGGGCGACCTCGCCGCTGAACCCGTCCACCCCCACCTGCCTGCGGCCGGGGAAACCCCAGGCCAGGAAGCCCCCACCTCCATCCCCAGCGGAAGGTCTCCGCCCCTCCTCCTCTCCTGTCTACCTGCCTCTCCCCCGCTCTGGCTCTCTCGGACCGGCTGCTCTCTGTCTCGTGCATCTCCGGGTCTCTGTCTCTGATCCACCGGGGCTATTTCTGTGTCTGTTCAAGCTTTGGCTTTTCTGCGCCAGTTTCTTTCTTTCTTCTTTTTTTGTTTTTGTAGAGACAAGGTCTCACTAGGTGGCCCAGGCTGGTCTCGAACTCCTGGGCTCAGGCGATCCTTCCACCTTGGCCTCCCAAAGTGCTGGAATTACCGGCGTGAGCCACCGCACCCAGCCTGATTCTTCGTTTTTGTGTCTGTCTCTCCTCTGTGGCTCTGTCCTGTCTCCTGGCCCCTTTCGCCCTCAGTCATTCCCCTTCTCTGTCTCTCCCTCCCTCCCTCTCCTCTCTCCGCCCTCCCCACTTACCTGCGCTCACCGTAATTGCTTCTAAAAACTGCTCCCTCCACGAGTGGGTCCCAATGACCAAAGCCAAATTCGTTTTCTTGATGAGTTTATCCACCGTGTTCTGGGGACGAGAGCGGGGGCGGGGGGCATCGTCCCTGAGCAACCCAGGGCGGCTTGAGGAGGGATCCCGGGGTTGGGGCTCACATGCCCGGGGTCCCCAACCTTTCACCCCCCAGGTCTCGGGCAGGCCGGCAGGAGGGAGGCGTGCGCTGTCCGTGGTGCTGACGCCAGCCCATCCTGGGGACCCAGCCCCAGGAAATGGCCTGGGCCAGACTCCAGAAGGGCGAGGCCCCAGGAAGTCACCTTAAAATCATATGACTCCTCGATGATGACCTCCAGCCGGCAGTTCTCCCCAAGAACCGGCTTGCCCATCTCTGCTATTCTCCGAGCCTCCTCCTCCTCGGCAGTCAGCTTCCTGTCTCCATCTCCTGCAGCATGAGGGATGGGAGTTAGACTCCTGGAAGACCTACCTCACTGGGCCTGCGACGCCTCACTACCCGTCCCCACAGAGAACCTCTATCTGCTCTCCTCTGGGAAGCCTCCTGGGTCACCTCCCCGCCTAGCCTCCCATCTGACCGCCCTCTCCCTCAGCCCTGAGACCCAGCTCCTGCGGGCTGGTCCAGGAGATTTAGTTGCTGGGCTCTGGGGCACATGGCCTGGGGGCTGCGTGACCTTGGACAACGCCTTAGCCTCTCTGTGCCTCGGTTTTCATATCTGCAAAACAGGCACCCTAACAGGACTACCTTGCAGGGTGGCTGTGGAAGTTAAATGAGTTAATTCATGTGCAGGGCTCAGAACAGTCCCCGGCACACAATCAATGCTATTTTCCTTATTATTATGACCAACACCGTCATCCTCATCACCATCCTTGTGGGAGGAGCCCGGTCTCTACGTCCAGGCTCCAGAAACACCCTAGGGTGTCTGAGTGGTGAGGGAAGAGGAGGACACCCGATTCTGGAACAAGTCTTGGCCCCAGGCCCACCGACCTCCTGGTCCTGAGGGCATTTATTTTTTTTTTGAGTCGGAGTCTCACTCCGGCCACTGCAGTCTCGACCTGCTGGGCTCCGGTGATCCTTCCGCCTCAGCCTTCCAAGTGGCTGGAACCACAGGCGTGCGCCACCACGCCTGGCGGATTTTTTCATTTATTGTAGAGACAAGGTCTCGCCATGTTGCCCAGGCTGGTCTTGAACCTCAGGCAATCCTCATGCCCTGGCCTCCCAAGTGCTGGGATGACAGGCGTGAGCCACCGTGCCCAACCCTGTTTTTAACCCCCTAAGTCTGTTGACCCTTCACTGCAAGCCCAGCACCAGCCCAACCCTAACCCGGTGCCCAATGTCAAGCTTGATTCTCAGTGTGACCCCAAATGCAAATCTGTTGCCAACACAGACTCCAAACCCTCACCCCGGCTCTGACCTCCACACAACCCTCAACCCCAAGCTCAAGCCTGACCTTGACACTCACCATCACCGGAAATAACCCCATGCCAGGCCCCAGACTCCAGCTTGCAGATCTGACACCAGTCCTGCCTCTGACCCCAAACCTCGGTCCCCATTCCCAACTCTGATGCCATCGCCAACAAAGAATTTGACCCACGTGGCAGAGGCTACTGTGTGCTCACCTGAACCTGTTTCCCCTCCCTCCAGGGCACACAGCCAGACTCCATCTCCCGGCCTCCCTAGAGGTGGCACATGGCCACATGGAGAACGTGGGCAGGAGTGATGGACTGGCCTTCCAGGCTCTGCCCCAGAAATCTCCCATGTGAGCTTCCAAATGCTTGCCCTGTGTGCCAGCTGGCAGCAGAAGGTCCAGCAACAAAGCCAAAGTCCCCCACGACACGGCAGAGCCACAAAACGGAATGGCCACATGGTGGGACAAAGCCACCCACCGACCAGGAACTCTCTCATGTAATAGCCAGAGCAAGAAATAATTTTGAGGCCAGGCGCAGTGGCTCACACCTGTCATCCCAGCACTTTAGAAGGCCAAGGTGGGAGAACTGCTTGAGGCTAGCAGTTTGAGACCAGCCTGGGCAACATGGTAAGAAGAAGAAGAAAGAAGGAAGAAGAAGAAAATGTTGCTTATGTTCAGCTACTGGGATCTGTGGGTCTATTTGTCAAAGCAGCTTGTATTCCTCACCCTGACTGATCAAATCTTTAGCCTAACCCTAATCCTAACCCCAGATCCCAATCCTTAGCTTGACTCCAAAACTGTCCTGTCTTGTCTTCAAGCTGCTGACCCCAGCCCCGACTCTCGCCGCCCCCATCTCTGACCTGGCCTCGATTCAACGAAGTCCCTCAAGCTTCATGATTCACCTCCAATTCCAACATCAGCTCTGACTTAAACCTGAATCTGGTTCTCATCCAATCCCACCACAAGCCCGGGAAACAACACCCACCTCGGCTCTGACCTTGACTCGGTCCTGATACTGACCGCAAATCCCAACCCCACCTCCATCCTGATCAACCCAAACCTGGCTCCCTCCGACCCCTCCCCTGCAAGCCCAGACCTGCTTCTGTGACTGACTTCCCCTAGCCTGGACTAGAGACGCAACCTTGACCGCCAACCTCTAACCCCAACCTCAGAGTCACCCTGGCCCCACCAAGGCCGGCTCCACCTTCGCCCGGCCCCAAGTCTACCCCGCCTCCAGCCTGCCCCACGCCCCAGCCGGAAGGGCGGCTTTGGGCCGTGACCCTCCCTGGGGCCCTGCTCACGGCTCCCCCCTCAAAGCCCGGGGTGGGGGGCTCCACTCACCTTGGCTGAGCAGCAGAGCTGGGGAGAGACAGAGACAGGGAGACAGTGAGATCACGTCCCCGCCAAGCTCAGGTGCACGAGCTTGAAGGGGTGCCCACAGTGGAGTCCCCAGAGGGCAGGCCCCTGGGCCCCTGGCCTCACCCCAGCCCACCGGCCCCCTCACCTGAAATCCCTCGCTTGAGCCACTGGGGCTGGCCCAGCTCGATGAAGAAATTATCCTTCTTCTCATATTCCTCGTCATCAACTATCTTCACCTGAAGCGTTTTCCTAGGGGCAGGCAGACACCCAGCATAAGATGCTCCCCCTGAAGAATCACCAGGCGACCTTCCTTCCATCAGCCACCCGGTGTCTTCGGCATGCCCTGTGTCCCAGAGGCCACAAGCTCATGGCGTTCACCGCCCCTCCCCCCCCCCGGAGGAAGGCTCTGTTATTATTCCCACTGGACAGAAACCCAGAGACTGGCGGGGAAGCTGAGGTTTATCAAAGGGAAGCCAGGCTGGGCGTGGTGGCTTACGCCTGTAATCCCAGCTCTTTGGGAGGCTGAGCTAGGAGGATAATTCGAGGTCTGGAGTTGTGGCCAGCCTGGGTAATATAGCAAGACCCCATTTCTACAAAAAGATAAAAACAGTAGCCGGAGCCAGGCTCGGTGGCTCAGCCTGTAATCCTGCACCTTGGGAGGCAGAGGTGAGTGAATTGCCTGAGCCTGCGGGGTTGAGACCCACCTGGGCAACTTGGTGAGA